TAAAGGATTAGCCTGCGTAGCTTGGCGGTTTAGCAATTTTTTAAGCAATTTGAGCGCGAGTGCACAAAGCAACAAAGCCGTGAAAACGAGCAGGAACCCCCCAGGCTCCTCATGGCTATGCCACATTTGGCGCTCGTTATCGCGGCTTCGCTGCTTTCTTAGCGCGTTCAAATTGCCTAAAAACCGCCAAGCTGCGCAGGCCACTAAACGATGTACAGAGTAATCCACAGCAACTTCACGACGATTAGCGTTAGGATAAAATATTGAACAGTCATTCAAAACACGCATAACTGTTCCTACAATTAGAAGTTCATTCACTGGGGAGCTGCAGTAACAAGCATTAAATAGCAGATAGACCAAGACAAGGCATTTTACCACTGCCGCCATATTGACGATTCCTAGTTAATGTAATTTTCATTGCTATCATACACGAACAGCCATTCTCTTAAAAGGCACATTTCATGCTGGCATATAAGACGTAATTTACGAGACCCGCATATACGCGCATTTTAGCACGCGTATATATGGGTCCTTGTAGGACGCGTATATTTGAGCATTTATTTCGCATATCCCCGCGCTTGAATTTACGCAAATANTGTGGTCCTTTAAAAATGCGTATATACGCGATCTAAATGGTCGTATATATGAGCTTAAAGCCCATACGTAATGTATGTAAACAAGTATAGGCGGCAGAAAAACCCGCGTATACCCTGTCGTAATTTTGAAACGAATGGCCAACCATAACTGTGGGCATGACGGGATTGACCGCGCGAGTAAAAGAGGAAAAGAGTCAGTCATTTCTTTCCCCTTTGTTTATTTCCCCGCGAAACTCGGGAAGTGAAGGCCTGGGACGGGTTGGTCCAGCCAACCGGAAAAAAGATTTTGGTCGAATGTCGCTCAAAATTGCTCGCAAGTCTCGCAACGATTGCGGAAATGTCGGGAAATCGGGGGAAATCGAAATTGACGATGGGATTGCAGCCTTCCAAAAAACCAAATTGGCATAAGGCCATCTTCGCCGTCAGAGAGATCTTTCAAAAACACGTTTATCAAACGAGAGGAATGGCTTGTGCTGTCGAAGTGGGAAGCTCTATTCGCTTGGTTACTTGGCGTGGTGTAGTAGACAACGCTGACTGCAACAACGTGGTAATGGACCACCTTCCAGAAAATGTTTTTAAGTATGTACCAAAATACCGTCTCCAAAAGTCAGCGGTTACGACCTGTGGCAGTTTCTCGTTTCTTTCCGTGAATTGTAGTGAAAACTTTCCTATCCTACAGAGCAAAGTTCCAGGAGACGAAATCAAAGCATCAAACCTTACTGCGTACTCGTTTTCAGGAAAAGAGACGATTGAACTGAAATTCAGGTACAACGAAAGTAACAAGGCACACGAACTAATTACCACTGGTGATGAATGGGAGAAGCGAGTTACGGAGAAAACATCCCTTCTGGGATCCCCAATTATTGAGAAAGCCGGGTTCGTTGTTGGCGTAGTTGGCGTGAGTGATGATGGGAAAATTGTTCCCTTTTTCATAACGGAAAAGGAATTGGGTGAGTCTAATTCATGAGTCAATTTTTGTAGTTTTGTGGGTTTGTGACGTGATACATGTATGTTTTCATCCAGTGGAAAAAGGCATTTCATTTGACGGCAGAACACTAACCAAAATTTCTTGATCAAGATTGGATCAAGGGTAGTACAATCAAACTCATAATGTGCCGTGAACTTGCTAGTACTATTTCTTGGAGTTTTCTCACATTTCTTTCATTTCCAAAATAACTCTTTAGCGTGAATAATTTTGTACCAAAGCTTCAACATCNCAAATGCCCCTTGTTAGGGCCGTATTAGGCAACGCCACAAAACAGGGACATACATACCAAGAATGTCCAATGAAAGAGACATGAATTCACCCTTGAACACCCACTTTGAGCTTCCATCTGTGTTCCACTGTTGTATAAAAGTGTTTAAATTTTTTGCAAGAAAAACTTTTCGTCTACCTTATAACAGTCAGCCAAAGCTTTTGAAGGCCTTTCTTTTTGATCCACAATGTTGCAAAGAATGGTGTTGTCTCTTGATGACTTCAAATTTGACCCTAACTTTAGGGCAACTTCTCCCTACCCTCACCTCTCCTATAAGGTGTAATATTTATGCCTCACCCCAATAACAACCTTCAACCTCAAATTCTAGCTTGAAATGTCAGTCATTCCAGCCCTGACAGCCTAACCCCTGAGTGAGTGGCACCTGAAGTATGAGCTTTATAATTCCATCCAGTGAAGACACTTACTGTTTCTATAATGATGTAAAGTAATTTCTGGTTGGTTTTCAGTTTGTGCAGGATAGATACAAGTTTTTTATTGTCAGATTAATTGTGGGTGTTACCGGCAATGGTGTAAATCAGACTTAAGCCTAATATTTACAGTCTTGTTTTAAGGCAATGTTTATTCACTCAGATTCACAGACAGGTCATTTCATTAACTTTTTATAGCCACATTATTTTCTGCAATTCTCTTCAACATTAACAACATTACATGTCCATATTTGCCTCAAAACTTCCATCATGTCAATTTATAGTTAGCAAGATCACTATGAATTTCACAACCGGAAATTCACAACTTCATTATGAAGTTTACATTTTGTTTGACTACTACATGATAACTATTACAAATTCAGAGTGAACTTCGGTAGTTGCGAAAGAATTGTGGAAACTGCTAATGTCAAAAGGTTTTTGAAATGCTGTAAATTTTACATTGTTTTATCAGCTTTATTAGTGATTATTTTGCCAATGGATTGCCCAGATTAACATGTCTGTGAAAGGTTTTTCCTTATGTCAATTCAACAGATCATGAAAACAATGCAACAGAAGAAACAGAAAAAGAAGACAAAGAAAAGAAAAGTGCTTTATTTGTCCCTGAAGGTAGAGGTGCAGCTGATGATAATCTTGGTATGCAGTTTTTTGTGTTTAACTTATTAATGACCTTTACCGACACTACCATATTTGGGAGGGACTGAAATGTCATTTTGCATCAACCTCAGTTCCAGGGTTTCTCTATTCCTCCCCCTCCCTGGGGTGATCAGCCATTGCTGTTCTAGAGCTGCCTGGAATTTCAGGACTTTGATAACTGGCCGCTTAACAATAACGGCTGGTTGCTCAACAGGTGGCCACTTAAGAGCGATTTGACAGTACATGGATGTACAGTTCAATATATTGTAAGATGAAAGTAGCTAACATCATTTAAGTTGTATTTCAAGTAGAACTGCTGATATAACTTGATCCTACCCTTACCCCACTTAACCAGCCCTTCCTATATCATCTCTTCAAAATGCCTCACTTACCAGCTTAACTTCCCCATGAATGTGACTGCTTTTTAAAAAAAAGGTGGCTTACTACAGTTTTTCTGAGATTCAGTGGCACATGCTATAATTGCCTGGTTGCTAGATGTCAGTATTTAAGGTGCGCATACAAAAATGATGCAAGCAACCCTAAAAAGAAATGAAAACAACTTCAGCACTGGAATCATGTTAAACCAATTTGGTATACAAAGCAATACATGTTATATCAAACTGCTTTCAAACATGTGCTTACTTAGCCTATAATCGTGGACAAAAGTCCTTGGGACACTTATGTAATTTAACAAATTATCTGTGTTTTACTACTGAAGTTTGAAAAAGGCGCTGCTTTCCTTTTTAAAACGTATTGCTCTTCCCTCTCTTGGCACCTCAATATCTTTGTACTCACTGAAACACACCGTAATAACTGTTAAGGTGATCACTAAGATTGACTTAAATACCAAATTTGTCATTTAAATACGTGAAGTATCTGCGCAACTGTACATTACAATGTAAACAATTCATTATGTATCCCAATCAAGCAACTCCATTATCACTGCCATCATATACAAAAGTTTATATATTATTTGAGATCAACACCTTTCCCGGTGGGTCCAAAACCATTGAAAAATACGGAAGAGCCATGTAAAAGCTCTTAAAAATGCCTTTCTAATCTCAGATGGTCACACTATCAGGTCCTAAATGCATTTAGTGCTAACAAACGGCGTAATTGTGCATCTCTCCATGAGACATGAAAATCAGACAATTGTGGACAAAAGTCCTTGGGACACATGTATTTTAATGAATTATCTGTGTTTTACTACTGAAGTTTGAGAAAAGCACTTCTTTCCTTTTTAAAACACGTTGCTCTTCCCCCTCCCACCCAATACAATGTTGAAAATCAAAAGAAGTTGCAGTTAGTAGTTTTCAACATTGTATTGGGGGCAACCTCGTTCCCAGGGTCTCTCATCTTACCACCCCCTGGAGCGAGCGAAGAGAGACCCTGGTTGGGTCTGGTCACGTGCCACTTTGACAATTGAGAACATCAGGGAGGGGTCCTCTGTAATCAGCAATTTGTCGTGTTGAGCTTTGTAGAATGTATCGCCCTGCGACTACCATTACCCACGGTGTTTATCAATACTTAGCTTTCAGGCTGAAATTTCCAATAATATCTATTCCAACGTTTACCTAAAGGTTAAGCATGTCTGTCTCGAGGCAAGTTAGTGGTTGTGATTTTCAGTGTTGCCGTCTTACCCACTGGATTTATGGAAAGTCAGTCATATTTCAACTGTGGAAGTCGAGCAGCGCAATTTCATCCCGTAGTAATTGTTGTTTCTCCTTTGAATGCACTCGATCAAGTTGATGCAAAAAAAACATAAGAATGTCTCTAGGAAAACGTATAGCTTTCTCAAAGTAAAGCTACGGCAGTCTCTGAAGAAAAGCTGG